CCAAGAACAAATTCCTGAAAGAATGCCTTCCTGATCAATGCAATCTTAACCTCTCCGACTCTAGGGTCAACCGTTATCTATTTTCAACAAACTCGTTCAGTAACACACCTAATCCCAAGTAGTTTCTGAATTTTTTATTTGGTGAACTACAGTTTAAAAAAAAAAATTCTATGGATCAAATGCATTCTATGTTGCAATATTTTGAGTTTCTAAAAGGATTAGACTGTTCATATTTCTTGTTGAATTATTTCTAAAAAAAAAAAAAAAATTTTTTAAATGTATTATTTTTTTTTTTTTTTTAACTTTATAGATTGCAAAATAACAAAATTATGATACAGTAAAGCTGTCTGTAAATATTAAGACTTAACAATTTAAAATTTTTTTTCACATTTTATATATGGTGACTTCTACTGTCACTTTCAATATATGAGGGCTTGGCTGTTGAGTTTAACACTAGACTAACCTCACAGATGATTGTAATGGTGAAGGTTTGTGTAAAACCAACTGCATTTTTTGTAATCAGTGACAACAACAAATAGTGCATAGTGTGCCATGAAGTCTCCAAGCAGTATTTCTCAAGTTTGAATTCAGTTTTCCTTCTCTTAGACTGGCTACCACTCAAGCCAAGTCAGTACAGTCTGTCCTGTTGTTTAATCCCTAGATAGAGAAAATGGATTCATGTATTTTCCAAGGGTAACAGTGAAATGAAGGAATCAACTGAAATTTGAAGTTGGCTCCCTCGTTTTACTTTCTGTGATAATAATTGTTACTTCTAACACACACACAGTTTTAAGGTATGCAATATTTATGGGTAAATGTGCTCAATACCAGAGATAGTATATGTAAATATAAAAGTGGGCACTAATACCAAGCAACATCTGTCTGTTTTGTGCTTGAATGCAATCTTCAGGCCATGTGTGTTGTGCTTTGGCTTGACTGTTTAGATATGTAGGCCAATGGTGCATTATGGGTTGTGCTATCTTAAGTTACTGAGTAGGCTGTAATGCTTATATTTCAAATTATTCTACAGGCTATTGTGTAAGAATAATTGTGAATCCAAATGTGGTTATTTGTGGCTATTTTATAGTGTTTTTCTTAATTATTAATTATTATTTTATTTTATAGTGTTTTTCTTAATTATTAATTACTTAATGAGTTGTTTTATTATTATTACTACATTGGCATTTATGTGTGCATTTGTAGTTTAATTTGTCTATTATTTACTTAATTTCTTCATTTATTCAGATTTTTTGTTCTATTTATTTATTTTCTCTAAACTAAACAAATAAGACAACCAATCACTGTTCGAAAAAGTTTGCCCATGCCTGTTGTAAATCAAATCTCCATGTTACTCTTTTTATGCTTGCAGTTTAAAATTAAAAATTCCTTAAAAATAAAAAAATTTCTCAAAGGAATGGAAGATATTTTCATAAAAAGCAGAGTAAACGACATAAGAAAAATAAATTTTAATTATATTTTCCTATAAAATTATATGTTTTAACTTAACTGAATATTACCCATTTTTTTTATTTTTTATATAGAATGTAGCAAAGCAAACATTATTTTCTTTGCTGTCTTTAAAATCTTTATATAACTGAAGCAGTTGCATTAAAACTTCCTTATAGGAAGTTTTAAGTTGACAAAAAGTAAATTGTAGTGCAGATTGAAAAACCTGTCAATTTTTGGATCTTCCTATATTAATATATGAACCATGTACTTTGTACAACCAACCATAATTTGAATAGGTATTGATAAGTTATAATTCAGTCACTACAGGTGAGAGAGAGGTGAACAAATTCAGTTTGATACATATTGTTTTGTACTTTATGAAATATCATTTACAAAATTATTGAACTCGGATGAAAGAAAAAGACAACAATGTACTGTACTGACATAGTATTTCCATCTGTGACAGCAATATTAAATTCTGATATGACTTAATTTTTCTGACCTGACTGACATTATTTTTGGCTTTTGTCTGAAGAGTTTCATGGAAAGCAGGTCATCACTTTTGATAAGTAAAAGATGGAATGGAAATTGTTGGGTTTTTTATGTAAAGCTGAGAAATTTACATTTTTTTTTACGTAAAGCTGAGAAATTTACATTTTCTCAAATGTGATCATTTAAAAGATATATATATATATAAGTACCTCCACTGATTTGCTAAAAAAAAATTGGCATATCATGATGGATAAATGCCCCAGACTTAATAAAAACAAACTTTTATTGTCAAAATATTTGTTATTATTAAGAACAAAGACCAAAGGATTTTTTTATTATTGAATTATAATTTTTTGATCCTTTATAGAATGTTTGAAATTTTGGTTAAAAATCTTGTTTTTCTTGTATCAGCTGGCAGGGCGGGACCAAACATTAGTATAGGAAATTTTAGTGAACAATGCATTGATTTGGATATTCTTGAAAAAAAAATTAAAAAAAAAAAAAAAAAATGAATTAAAATTTTAGGACTGAGACACACATGAATGAAATTATTTTAGAAATTTTTTTTTTTCCATCTGTTTCCCCCCCTCCCCCCACATACACACACTCTTAATTTTGTGAAATTTCAAGAAATTAAATTTTGTCCCACTTAGTGTTTATATTAGTTAAAAGCAGAACTCCTTGGAGAATTTAATTTATCAATTTCTTTTTGTAAAACAGAACCCCTGCCTCATTACTTAAAATCTAATCTGAATCATGAAATGAAAAAAATGCAATAAAACTAATTAATTATTTAATTAGAAAAGATTTTAATTGTTTATATGAATAAGATATATTATAGACACTATTGTTTGAAGAAACAAAGAAAATTTTTCAGTGAATTTACAAAATTTTCATTTTTTTTTTTTTTAAATTTTAATTCCAATAATAATTTAGTTTTAAATCTTAAATTCTTTTTTTTTATTTTGCGGAGATTAGGTGATATTGTTATTAAATAAAAACTATATTTACTAATCATAAATGGAAAAGCTTAGTATAATTTGACCCACAATATTTTAAAAAGAATTTTGAAATTTTTATTTTATTTTTTTTTTTTTTTTTGTGTATGTACAAAATTACTGATTTTTTAAATACTGATGTCCGTATATGACATTATCAGAAAATAAGAGCAATAACTAGAGTAAATTTAAAGCAAAAGTATCTAAAATTCAATAAAGCATTAGATTATGGAGAATATTTTCCTAAATTTTTAAGATTACTGGGTAGTTAAAAATTACATAAAACAGCACTCACATATTTCTCATGTAATTTTTACAGATAAGTCCTCTGTAGAAAAAAATTACATAAACTTTCATCTGTTAGTCAAGCTGTCAACACCTTAAATAAACATCTACCACTGTGTAAAAAAATGTATTTCTACAATATTTTAAATTTAAAATAAGTAATATTTGTTTCAAATCAGATTAATTAAACTTTAAATCGGCTAATATTCCCCAAATAAAGTTTCAGAAAAGTATTTCATTTTTGAAAGATTTTTAAATAAAGACAATTGTGATGGCTAAAAATGGTGCTAAAACCAGCAATTTAAGCAACTGCAAAACAAAAACACCTTCCAGTGAATTTAAATTAGTTTTGAAAAAGAGCAAAGTATTTTACTTATTGGAAATATTAAATTTAATCTATTACCTTGAAATTAACATTAAAATGAAAGCTTGAAAAAAGACTTAATTTTTAAAAATTAATTTTAAACCTTAGGTATATTGAATCTGTAGAGGTATCATATATATATATATATATATATATATATATATATATGGTGAAATTGGTAAAAGCATGTCAGGCTATATGACAGTTCCGTTTAGGATACATGTTCGGATCCTGTTGGAGGACGAATATTTTCTATGAAAATTTTTCGGACATTCAGCCTGGTAAATGTTATTTAATACTGTTTATTATAAACAGAGCATTTACTTAAATATTTGTATCTATAAAAAGAATGTTGAACATGAAAATATCTTATATATATATATATATATATATATATATATGTGTGTGTGTGTGAGAGAGAAAATTAATAGATTTATTTATTAACCCTAGATTATTATTTTAAACATTATTTTAGTGGATACTTGATTTCGAAATAGATGCTGCATTTTTATTTTTAAACAGTATATTACTTCTATCTCTGTTCCTCTGTCTGGAGAAATCTTTATAAAGAAAATGTGCTCCAACCTATGTTTCTGAGCAGGCCAATAAAACTAATGCACACTGTTTTAAAACCGATAAAAATGGGGTGTCTATTTCAGATACTAATATGCACTATAACAATATTTGAAATATTACAAATATAAAGTTTGTCATTTAGCTGATTGGTGTTACCTTCAACATCCCAACTATAGAGTTTAGTGGACAGACCCTCTGGCAATCATTCCATCCACTTGTCAGGGGATGTCAGCTATTGACTGTTTATATTTCTCTTATCTTTTATATATGTATTTTTTCATTGGTGCAATGTGGATTTATTTATTTTTTTCCCTTTAGTTTCATAGTGCGTTCACACTCATTCTAAGGTTTTTATGTCGTACAAAATAATTTCATACTGTAGGAATAGTTATTACTTATGTTGAAACACCAGTTGTCTGATTGAAGTTAAGCTGTGTTGAGCCTGGTCAGATGGGTAACTTCTGGGGAATACCAAGTGCTGTAATCTACGTGACAGGACTAGCAAGCCTACGGCGATGGATAATCTTGCAATTTAGACTAACATAAGACATCTATATATGGAGGTGCTTCTGGGTTGACAGGTTGCAAACCTACTTAGAGTTGGGTGATTGTGTGTGGTGAGGAATAATTAACTCTTGAAATTTCAGTAAAGCATTTCCATCATAACTTTTTTTCATTACTAGTTTTATCTTATTTTAAGTCAGTACCAACTTTATTATTACTATAATTTTATTACTAGTTTTATTCCATCTTGTTATTGTTACTGTTTATCCGAACATTAACTACAAACAGTATGAAACCTGAATGAAGCATCTTATTGTTATTATGAGACTTGGATGAAATGCAACCCAATTTTGTCGTCATTCTGCTATCTTCTCCTCTTTGACTTGGCTTGGCCAAGTAGGCCCCCCCCCCCCGCCGACTCTCTCGCTCTTTTTCTTTTTTTTATTTGCTCAGAATGTGAGAAATGGGTCAGGTGTATTATTTTCGCACTCCTAATTTGATTATTTTAAGACTGACTGCATTAATAAAGGGTATTATGTACAAAGAAAAGAAATAGCCACTATGTTTTACCTGTATTCAGTTGTTTCAAATAAGTGAATCAAAACAAAGAAAAAGTTCTTCTCCATAGGCATAAACTTTGTGCATGTTTCTGTAGGTGTCTTGGGGGGGGGGAGTCAAGTGTTTTTATTTATCCAGACTTTTGTAGGAAGATGAGAAAATTGAATAAAAATAGAAAAATGAAGACCTGTGTATATTTTATGTTTCATTCAATCTTGCCATTTTATCTGTCCTTACATTGTAGTTTGTTGAAACTAAAATGAAAGTTTGGCTAATTTTGACCTTCATGCCTGCAAAAAATGAAGTGTCAAAAAGACAGTTTTCTCCTTGACACTGCTATTATTTTAACTGCCTTCATTCTTTGGCAATGTTTATTGTTTTAAAAAGCAATGATTAGAATTGTAATAAAACCTAAACTATGAAAGTGAATTAATACCTTTTTTTTGTTCTTGGGAATTTGCAAAAGCAATAATAAACACTATTGTTTATTGGTTTGATTGGCAAAACATTGGCTAATTGTCAATTGATTCAAACTTTATAAAATGGTAAATAAGTATTTCCTCACTGTTGGTTTGCATATTTTAATCTTTTAGTAAATGTTTATGAATAAAAAATTTTCACATTTATTTCTTTATATAAATGATAAATATTGCATTGTATTAGTTTTTGCAATGTTGTAAATATAAAATTATATTTTAAAACTATAACTAAATGCTAAATGCTCTTTCATTGCTGATAGTATCATTTAATAAGTGTTTTGGCTCAAGGTCACAAGTGATTATTAATTTCACTGCTTTATAGTAATAATTTGCAGTAATAATTTTTGAGGTGGCTTTATAAATGTGCAACTAATATCCCAGCACCTCTTTTAGCCTGGACAAAGCTACAAGTATTTGAATTTTATAGAATTTTTCTTTCTTTAATTTCACCCCAACCAAGGCAATAACATCACTAAGATGCAAGGAGTTACTGAGTGTTAGAGAATATGCAAAAAATGTACTATTGAGCAGAGAATTACATTGTGATATAAGATGGCTAAGAATGGTGCTAAAATCACTGATTTTTAGCAATTTCAAAACAAAAACTCCTTTCAATTTAAATTAGTTTTGAAATACAGCAAAGTATTTTGCTTATTGGAAATATTAAATTTAATTAGCTTAAAATTAAAATCTTGAAACATTTTTCATTTTTAAAAATTCAGTTTAAACCTTAGATATCACTTTTCTTTGGTGGTACCTACATTCATATAACAATTATTATGGTGAATACTAAGATACTCATGTGACATGCAATACTAGCACCAAGAAAATCCAATCAAAGGTAAACTATACATTGGTGGTGGGTATTAGGGTTGTGTTTTAGTACACAAGTGGTTGGGGGCAACTCTCACAGTTTTGAAATTTATCTGTAGAGATATCATGCATAATTAGCAGATCAGTTGAATTATTGTTTTTACATGATTTCTGTTAGTCTGGAAAAGTGAATATTCTGGCAAGGTTCTGGGACTAAAAATGGTAGAAAAGTCAGTGGTCTATTTGTGTGTGCATGCTCTTGAAAACATTCTTTAAAAGAAGTAAGGCTGCCTGCTTTAAAGTGATGGATGAAGCTAATATAAGAAGCTATTTCTGTTGATTTTGATTGTTAGGTTCTCGACTTTTATGGCCTTGTGCCTGAGTAAGTAAATATTGACTGAAAAGAAATCTGAATTAAAGATTTGACCTAATATGATCTTCATTAGTTGAGTTTTTAAAATTTTCAGTAATCCATGTTGGTATTGAGAATTTAATTTAAAAAAAATCTTTGGTATGTTTATTATAAAATCTCTTTACATGCTTTTTGTGTCAGGTGTTTCATATACCTCTTTCTGTTGTCTGAGGCAGAAGCCAATATCAAGAAAGAGAAAAAAAAAATATGCCAGAACAGATGGTGACCTTGCAATTTTTTTTTTTTTTTGTATGACCAGTTGTCTCCTAGTTTTCTTGATTTTTTTTTTTTTTTTTTTTTTTTTCCTTTTTCCTTTACTAGTGTAACCAAGGTATTTTAGTTTGTTTTGGCTCTATGAGTTTTATAAAGTAACTCTAGAAAAGTTTGATGGTATGAAAGTTAGGGCAAAAATCTCTTAGGTTTTCTAATTTCTTTCTTGAATTGGGAATGTGCTGGTGGTGTTAACGATTGTGGCTTGTAATGCAAAATTGGAGAGCTGAGTTCGAATTCTAGTCAGGTTTGTTGCAGTCACTTATATGCAAATACCCTTAGAAGGTATGAATTCATTTTCTCCCCCAGCTATGGTTTAAATAGTAGGACTTGTATCTGGGGAAAATCATTATTTTCAAAAAAATAAAAATTGCAATATTCACATTTTAAATTTTTTATTTTCGGCTTTAAATAATGCACACAAGGTTGATAAGCTATCAGTTGTTGAATTGCGTTTACTTTCATTTGAAACAATTTGTTTTGGATTTTTGGCTTGCTTCAAAGAAGAGTTGTCATGAGAATCAAACTAGAAGTTGCTTAATAAATATTTTTTGAAGGTAAGTAACAGACAATCCATTTGAAGCAAATCAAACTTGTTTTTATTTCAAAAACAAATGAGAAAATTGCTTGACTCTTCTTGAATTGAATTTCAAACTTTTATGAATGTCAGGAGGTGGGTAACAAGTTTCAAAACTGCAAACCCTTATTAAATAGGATTTTTTTTTTTTTTTAAAGCAGTTGTTTTGTGGAATGCTTGGTTTGCATTTCCATTTTGAATGCTTTTAATTTTTTTTGCCTGTATATTAGACTATGGGATATGATGGTGGAGTAAACAAAATATTAGTCACATCCACAATATTATCAGCAGTAGTACCTACCAGATTATTTACACTTGGAATGATACTTTAAAAAAAAAAACTGTGTACACAATTTTGGCTTTGGTCTTCAACAGAACAGTACTTTTTACAGCAGTTAGCCTTATACTTAATTTTCATATATGGACACAAACTTCATTGGAAACGAACATCTGTATGGGTTTATATTCTAAGAATTTATTAATTTCTGTCTGAATTTCTGGGATGAGTTCTCATTATTTACACTATTTACATGCAGACTATTGCCCTCACCTTGGTTATTGTTAATCACAATGTTTTGGCTGTTGTTTGCAGCAGCATAGACGAGGACAATAGGTCACATGTAAAATAGTGTAAATAAGAATTTGTTTATTTTATTTTATTTTTTTTTTTTGGAAAGGCATGAATTCAGTATTCCCTGTGCTTCATGCCATTAATATTGTCTATTGTCTGCTCTCCAATGTTATAAAAAAAATAAATTAGTACTCAGGTAATCTCTTCTATTTACCAATTTTACTATTTTTTTTTTTTTTTTTTTTTTTATATATAATCATTTCACCTCCAAGCAAAAGTGATCAGACAGAGTGAAAGAATATGAAAAAAAAAACATACTGTGCAGAACGGGAGGCAGAAGGTGTGACGACCACAGGTATCCATATTGGGAGTGCATCCAATCAAAGAGTGAAATAAAAATTTAGTTTATATTTAATTTGAATAAAGTGTTTATTTCATGTTTGATTTGTTTTTAAAATATCTTCCTTTCTCACATTTCATTGTCTTTTGAAGATTTAAATAAGAAATAAAATTTTTTTTTTGGTGAGAAAAGAACATCCTTGTTTGCAAAATTTGATTTTCTTATGGTTTCTACCCACAAGATAAAGTGGAAAACATTTCTTTATTAAATAATTGCAATGTTCCATCAGTTCAGACTTTTATAGCTAAGACTCACTATGTCATGTGCACTGGGAGAAATAATCCCCATTTTCTTTGAATTCTATTGGTAAGATTGTAGTGCCATTCAGACAGCTTCTTCTCCAGAATTGCTGCTTTATGGAACAAGTAGTGTGCAGAAAGAGGGGGCGGCAGGGGTTTGATGGCCCCAGGTATCCATTATTGGGAGGGAATCCAATGAAAGAGTGAAATAAAAATTTAGTTTATATTTAATTTGAATAAAGTGTTTATTTCATGTTTCATTTGTTTTTACATATTTAAAATATCTTTCTTTTTCTCAGTTTTTTCAGTACTAGTCCCTATAGTCCCCACCCCCACCACTTGAGTGTTAGGGGCATACAATCAAGGAGTTGGCCTGGGGGCATCATCAGACATCAAGAAGGAACAAGAACAGGACAAGATTCAAGGAGACTGTTTAACATTGCATTTAAATTTTTGGAAAGCAAGAAGCCAGAAGAGTTTCACAAGCAAGAAGTGCAAGAGAAGAAACTTATCATAGAACTTACAATTACATTTAGCTCTTTCAAATGTAAAATGATATGTTGCTGCAAATCTAGTACTGCATTTAAATTCAGAATGTCTAGGTAACATTGCGGAATATTCATCAGGATAATCACCATGAAAGTATTTATAGAAAAGGCAAATGGAAGCTACAATACAGTGGTGGGGAAGAAACTGAAGCTGAGATGGCAGGTCAGACCCATAACATTGCAGATTCTTCTTAGGATTTTTATCAAGTATCTCTAAATATATAGCAGGAGCATCAGATTGCAACTGTAAAATGATGAGATCTTGCTTAATACTACACTTAACCCTAATTTCTTTCTAGAATTGTTTCTCCTGTTACTGCAATTTTTTTTTAAATTACTATTTTAAAATTGTTATAACTTTCTTTTTATTGTGTGTACAGATTTTATTTTTTTTTTATACTAATAAAAGAATGAATGAGTAATATTTTGATGTAATGCATTACATTTTGCATGCATGTTTTGATG